CCTCATAGCAACAGGACTTGCCCAAGAGTGTGCCACCACTCTACTGAAGGAAGGAGTTGGTCATGTGATACATATCAGTGACCAATCAGAGAGCTAGTCTTGAAACCATTGGGGTTTGAAGATACTGATGCACTCTATGAGGAAAACATTTAACTATTTGAAATGGTATTTAAATGGAGATTGTGGTGAAATCAGTTACATATTATTAGAGTGCATTAAAATTAAAAATTAATATAAGAATACTTAGAACAAAACAGTATATATATTTGACAGAAGGTATTTAAAAAGTTACGCTTTCCTCCTCAACAAGTCACAGTGTTGATTAAAAAAATGTTTCCTCCAAAGATTCTCTCGATTAGTTTTTTAATCTTCAAAACAATTAAATTAGATTGAGAGAAGGAATTTCAGGTGACAAATCCAGGAGATTAGCAGTTTACTGGAAAGTCTTTAACTAGCTATGAATCTGATCAGTTTCATGTTAAATTTCAGAGTAAACTCTATCCAATCTGTGAAACTCTGTGTTCTCAATACCTAACGATTGATTTACTAAAACTAAAATTAATTTTTTCTTCTATGTTCAGTGTAAATGTAAAATAATGCTACGTTCATCATAATATAGTATTTTAGTCAGTGAGTACAAAGAATTCAGGAATAAGTATATAAGGTGAAAATAAAACACAAATCAAGAATAACCAACTTTTTTAAATGGCTCATAAGTAAAATTTAAGTCATCCTTATTTGTGTTTTAAATTTATTTATCAAAGCCTAATTAAGGTATATTTATGAACCATAGAATTATAGGCCTACTCGTTTATCCCGTCATAATCTATTTCAAAAAAAAATATTATTACAAAATATTCTAAAGAACCATAGTAGTTAAGGAAGTGCCTGACGAATAGCCAGTAGATATTTTTGGAAGTACCTACCAAATAACCATGGCTTTATTTTTCTATGCAGTGACCAGATGATCTACGGTGGGGCACACGGAAGATTTCTCAGGTGCCGTTTGACGTCACTAACTGCTGACGTCACTAACTGCTGCGTCTGAAGAAACAGAAAATTTTATAATTTTTCTATTATTAAATTAAACTGTCATAACCTAACCAATAACCAAACTAACCAAAAGTGCCGACAAAGGAATAATCGAATGAAGGTTTACTAATCTAAAAAATAGTTTTGTTCATAAAATAAAATCATAAATGCCTAAAATTCAATTTTATTTTTTTTATTATAAAATTAAACTGTCATAACCTAACCAAACCAACCAAACTTGCTGATATGAAAAAAATTGTTGATAAAAAGTTAGTGCTACCGGCGGGATTCGAACCCAGTACGTCCGGATTATCAACCCGCCACGCTATCCACTAAACCACCGAGGCCGATGGCTCAAATCCGTATCGTTGCGGTATTGGTGTTCCCTCAAAGTGACCTCAGCAGTTAGTGACGTCAAACGGCACCTGAGAAATCTTCCGTGTGCCGTTTCGGATGACCTATGGGTCACCTAACCTATTTAAACAGCTGACACGAACAAACAGATTCAACAAAACTTTTTCAATGTTAAAACTTACCTAAACAAAAATTTATAAAATGATTGGTATCGTTGTTCAACTTTTATAATTTTCATCGCTATCAGAAGAAGTGTCGTAATCCTTCACACACAATATAATTGGTCTATGTACAAATATCATATTTGTATAAAGGTAAAATCGTGAAAATGTCAGAGAATAATGAAATACAGAGGAAATAAATAGGCTAAGAGCAAGCGTTATTACGTTCCACTGCAAACCCCACTGTATTTCAACATGCCACTTTACTATATCCAAACCATACACGTTTTGCCAGTTGACGTGACTTCTAATACTAGACCTTAACTCTACGAAAACTAAAATCTTTGAATTCATGTAAATGCTAGGATAAAGTCATTAATGGTTATTTTGTTTAGAATATTTATGGATTAAATACTGGTAATTAATTGTGTATAACATAAATGGTCTACAGAACTCTTCGTGCCCACCTAAAGACAATCTTTTCAGTTTGGTTTTGTCAATTGTAGCATCAGACAACAAAGCAAAATTAAGTTAGGCATTTTCATAGATTGAACATACCTCAGGTATTAAGCTTCCTTTAGAGACTAAATAGTGTATAATTCGTTATGTAGGCAAGTAATACCTAGACAATGATTTTGGAAGGGTAAAATACAAGACCAAGGCAGGTTTCTGAGGCAATAAAGCTCGGTCATGTCCAATATTGCGGCTTGTGACACAGTTCGTAGACACTCGTTGTTAACTGTCGATAGATTTCTTCTACCGTCTTCTCTTTTAAGTCAGTCACTAAACAATACGTTTTGTGAAAGCCTGCACATAATTTACTTTTAGGAGCCATCTTCTTATGTTATTACAGTGTTTCTTTGTAATTTTATAAATTTAACTAATAACCCTGCACTCATGCACTAATTGGAACTACAGTTTTTCGTAGAGTGTTCCTTATTTTTTTCATTGAAGGAGAGAAAATTAATACCTTAGTACATTCCTATGAAATGGCAACCAAGTTTGCCTCGGATACAGTTTTAGTTTAAATGGTTTAGTTAAATTCTTTACGGCTAATTTTCAATTGATTTAGTTATAGGAGAGTCAAGCTTATTTTCCATTTTAGTGTTGGATTAGTAATTAGTTAACTCAAGATATTGGCTGAAATCTAATAGTATGACCTGTTTCCTGTACCAACCTCATTTAAGTTTCTAGAATAAAATTTAGGAATTAAGCATCGTTGTCATGCAAAGTGAAATTAAGCAAAATATATTATTTAAAATAAGCTAAGACCTTTAGAAACCCCAGATAATGTAAAGACCAAAATCCTTTTCTCAATCACGTTTAACATAACAGAAGATAAGAGAAGCTGCTGCTCACTTTGACAAGTTTAACTAACGTCAGTTGCTTATCTTGTCTTTTACATTAGTCTTAGCATTCTATTTCTCTAAGTTTATAATCGTTGTAGTTTATGAAATAGAGTTGTTATGCATAATATGTGAGCATTGTTGATGAAAATGTGTTAAATTGTTAGTAGAATGTCACAGCTAAATAGAAGCATTTATGCCTTGAGATTTATAACATAAAATACTTGGGTTTAAAAAATATGAAGTTTAAAATTGTCAGGCAGGATCAATTACAAACAGGGTGTATTAAGGCTACGCTTTCCTTAAGAATATAATAATTTTAATCAAACCATAGTACTAATAGTAATTCCTATAATTATACTCTATAAACATTTTATGTCAGTTAGAACCTATTGCTACAGCAATTTTATAAAGGTGGGAATAAAAAGCCAAACATACACAGTAAAAATTATAATAAAATCACGTTTGGGCCACCATGTGGTCCAGTGGCGATAGTTAATAACAATACATGTTGTCTCTTGTGCTGTGTATTCAAGTGACAGAGCACAAACAGTTCGGACATTTATTCACACACACAACACTGAACTTTAGCCTGCAGTGACATGTTTATCATCATCCAGACACTCCTATGTGATGAGAACACTGATTAATGAACTTGTATTATGTTTTGAGGTATTTGGGGCTTATAATAATTCTCAAGAAAAACATCAGCCAATTAGTTTAAACGTTAATTGAATTTAATAATTGAAAAAAACGTTACTTTTAGCATAACTATCAAAATCATAAAAAACCTGATTAGATAAACATATTTTTACATCACTTTTATGCATAATTAATAAATCTTTTTATTTCATTGAGGTAAATTGTCACCAAAGCTAACAACAGGTATTGAGAGTCTTTTAATCCAGACGCCTATGTTGTATTTAGGGGTGCTGAACTCACTTGCGTTGCCTACCAAGAAAATATATTTATACAAATTCACGAATGTTGGCATGCTAATAAAGAACTCCAAAAATATTTATTATGTTCATAAAGTTTGAAATTATTTAAAAAACCTTTGACCTCTCAATTCTTGTAAATCGAAAAAAGAGTTACCTTTCCGAATTTGAAATTGTGTTCACACTTTCAATAGTTTTACTTAAACACATTCTAATTCACATTTAAACCAATAAATCAACTACAAATTGACACTACTAGTTGTTCTGCCCATGCTTCGCCACGGCGAGAGAACGCAGAGAAGATATAACGATTCTTTACCGCCTCGTCCAAAGCAAAGTGCTAGATAATTGAGCACTTATTTTTTATGTAATTAAATTTTATCAATGTAAAAGACACGAGGGAAAAACACTACGGATGCGATTTTTCCCAGTTGGGACACATAAGGGTCTGTCCAAACTCTATGGTTCTTGTGTCACTTTATTATATTCACAAAATTTGTCTGCAACATTGGTGTTTTTGATCAAACTTGGCAAATTTATTTATTTTGTACTAAGCTATCAATATTTTACTAAAAAACACACTTTATTAGTTTCCTGGTAGCAGCAAACCTAGTTACTCGTTAAACCTAATGCTATTAAAATATATTTAATTGAAAATCAATTCAGATAAATGGAAATTCACTTAGTCGACAGGTTTGCTGCGGCGGGGGTATTTTATTATAATACTGAACCAATAAGTAATCAATTAAAACAGAATTTAAAGGTTTGAACATTATCTACATTATAAGAAAAACTAAATGTCACTTCTCTTGATGCAAGTATTATAAATCTGTGGTAGAATCACTCTATGGAATCTATGGTATGGTTAACTCAAGAAAAAGTAAACTAAACCTAAATGTTTCACAATGTATCTCAATATTTACATGTAATTGAATACATCCCTTTAACTAACGTTCCTGCCATTAGGAAAGGGTAATAAAAGTGATATTTTTCGGACAACTTTCACATCAAGACCATTCATTCAAGTATGCAGTTGATAGGTGTACGGCTTACAGTTTTCAGTTCAAATCCATCCTAGCATATACACATATTTATGTTAACATTTGGCTTAATAAACAAATTACCAACTTTTGTATCCCAATACTGATAAATTATTGAACTACCGATACCTTTGAGTGTGCTTTATTCAATCACACCATTCTATTTAACCCCGACCACAACCCATACAATATGGTTTCCCATCCCTCTCAGTAAACTCTTTGAGGCCAATGATCTCCTCGCAGTTTGTACACTTGAAGCACTCTTGATGCCAAGTTTCATTAAGTGCTGTCAGGATGGAGCCTGTGATCCGTTCACCACAAGATCGACAGTTCTTGACAAACAGCCTGACGTAATCTGCCTCACAGAAAGGTTTGCCATCCCTCACACGGAATGCCGTCTCCCTTATCGGCTGTTCGCAGTGAGCGCATGTGAAGTGTTCAGGGTGCCAAGTCTGTCCCAGGGCTGCCAACACAACCTCTGTGATTGGTTTGTTACAGTTGGCACAACTGGGCTTTATCTGGGACGCTCTGTAAATCTTGGACGAGTTTGAGACACTCATGGTATTGCGTTGGTATAATGTAGGTACAAGATCTTGGAAAAAGGTACGGAAAATTTACTTGTACTTGGCATGTCTAACATAATTTGTGTTGCTGTGGATACTAGTGTTTATGATGAATGAAAGATAACAAATTCAAATGAAATTGCATTTGAAAAATTCAGAAGCCAATTTTTCACTATTGCCCATGTAGCAAGACACATGGAAGATAGTGAAACATAATCTTTTTATTTATATTTTCCATTTTAGTCCTTCCCTTTTTTTGCGTAATGCAAAAACAATCATACCCGATATTGCTATAGGTTTGGTTGTGCCTACCAAAAATTTATAGATTAATTGTTGATCCAAAATATTATACATGTAGTATGATTATTAACCTCCAAATTGTGGGAGTTTGCTTCAAATATATTCAGAGGACAGAACTTTGCGCAAAGTCATAAATTTTAAAATTTCTTCAATAATTCCCTTAGTCCTGTAAACTTTTTCAACTTTTAAAAGTCAGCTTTGCAAACTACTTCAAGATGAGGAATTCAGATATTTTTCTTAACTACTAATTTTAAAGAAGTTATTTTGTAAGCACGCATAATTATGTCTGCATACAAAATACCAGTCAATATAACTATGTTGACTGGTAATTTATATCTTTTAAGCCTTTAAACTTTCTTTCCATGACATTTGAGATTACTGAAATCTTAACATATTATCTAACTAAAAATAACGAAAATAACGAACATCATTTACGTGGTGATTTCTTGGGTCATTATGAAGAGAAAATCAAGAATACATTGTTTTCCAAAATCGCTTCGTCAACCAGATATCCGCCATTTTGTATTTATTAAATAAACTTGTTTTTCTTTCGAATGTTTTTAACCGATTTTTATGAAACATTGTATGGTAGAAGACACCAGTGTTATATAAAAGTTTCATTTTGATTTTACAAAAAATTCCAAAATGGCTGCCGTTTTAATTTTTTAAATTAAATAACAAAAAATGGCTGGTTTTATGAAACAATTAAAAGTACATTTTAATTTAGCATTATTTGTAATTCCCTATCAAATATAACCGATTTTAAAAATATCGAATAAGAAATAGCTTAAATGTTACGATTTGTAGTTGTAAAATATACATGTAAAATATACCCTGTATAGCTAGCTAGCTATATTGACAGTTATAAGCTTCCTTGTATCATAAAAAAGTTTTTTTAATATCAACAAAGATATAACGTGTTTAATTCTAACCTCTATTATTGGACTTATTGCACTGACATTGTTATTGTAACCATAGACTATGATTTAATGAACAAGGTAGATATTTATACATCGAAGAAAGATATTATGTACACATATTTTACTGTGGTAAAAAGGTTACGACCTAAGAAATACTTTGAATAAGACTGTATTGTTTGGGTTTTTCATTTGAATCTTGAAATGTAAATTTAAATAATCATGATTTTCTTTAACACAATTCATTACAATATATTCTTCTTAATCCTTAAATTACATTCTTGTACTACTTTTTGAAGTTTCATATTATATAATTGATTTGCAAACAAAACATTGGAGTAATTTTAACATTTAAATCTTTTAGGAAAGGTCAAACATTAAATTAAAAGTTCCAGAAATATTTCAGGAATGCTTTATGGGTCGTTTCTCTTGTCAGATGAAAAGGATTCCTTATCTTGTCCTCTAGCCTTTAATCTTTTATAATGTTTAATCATCAAGTTTAAAATTTTTTCGATAAATACTTCAAACAATAATAATTATGGCGTTGGTTTTTAAGTTCATTTATTTTAAAATTGGGATATCTCAAAACAATATGAAACCAATTTAAACATTGCTTCATGTAAAAGTCAACATTATAGTTATAAACGACAACAAATGGTAAATTGACGTTTAATCAGATTCGAGGTTTAACAATATCAAAAAAAGTATTAGAATGAAAGTAATCCCTAGAAAGGTGATCAAATTTAGCGTCAACATTTGGAGGGAAATTACTATTGGAAAATCACAACGATTGTACCATTTCTAATCTGTTTTTTTTTTTTAATTAAGTAAGCACGTTATGTTTAATTTTTTTGTATTTTCCTATGTTAGTACGATGCAACTGTTCATTTAATTATTTCATTGTATAAGCATGTTTAGCGTGTTATAACCATACATAATAATTCTACTATATTAAATAAATATATAACAAAATTCGGACTGATTGTAAAGACATTGGGGAACACAAAAAAGTAAAAATACAAGTTCAAAACTACTACTCTGGTTCAAGATATACTCCACAATGATTATAAAGAGTTAATGCAGAAATATAAAGACATCTTTCTTAAAACATGTTAAAGGTTACTATACAGTTGCTCTAGTGATTGAAACAACCAGCACATATATATCCAGCTTTTAACTAGCGAGTTTAGAAAGCTATAACACCAACAAGAGAAAAAACAGTAGGAGTAAAGAGAAAAAAGTCTTTCATGATATACACACGATCTTAACATCCAAAGATTCATAAAATTTTACAAAGGGTGCATAGATATACAGGGTGATTTGTACTCAGTGTGACAACATTTTTTGGTGTAAGTACAAAGTAAATGAAGTGTGATGATGCATATCAAATGTTCCAAGTCTAAAAATTAGCTTCCCAAAAAATTATTTTATGTTTTTCAAAAATAACCATGTTTTTAAACTTAATACAGCGATTTCTCAATTACCTGTATATGGATTTGAGTAGATAATGTCATTTTTGTGTTCTACATTAAATTTTGAACAAGAATAATATAAAATGACGGAGGATCAGTTGTAAAAACTCCATTGTAAATAGATCCAAAGATAAAAATTAAGATAATTGATAAACATTTTAAAAACAATGGTATATTTCATTTTTCACACCCTGTATACAAGAAAGTGTCGGAATATATTAAAAACTGCGCCATTTTATAAGCTTTCCAACGATATGCTACACTATTGAGGTTTATGTCTGCTTATATACGCTTTAATGGTTTGAAGACTACAAAGCATGGTGTCTTTAACATTTAAAACATAGAAAGTCGGCATGTATTAAGCAAAAGTTGTATTTTTGATTCAGCTTGAACAGTAAAAACAGTAAAAAAGTTCCCTGTTTTCTGGTATTCAAACCACTAAAACAAACAAAAAAATATCTAAACCTCAACAGTGTAGCATATGGTTGGAAAGTTTATAAAATGGCGCAGTTTTTATCATATTCCGACACTTTCTTGTATACAGGGTGTGAAAAATGCAACAGACCATTGTTTTTAAAATTTTTCTCAAATATCTTAATTTTTATCTTTGAATCTATTTACAATGGAGTTTTTACAACTGATCCTCCGTCATTTCCCATTATTCTTGTTCAAAATTTAATGTAGAACACGAAAATGACATTATCTACTCAAATCTATATACAGGTAATTGAGAAATCGCTGTATTAAGTTTAAAAGCATGGTTATTTTTGAAAAACATCAAATAATTTTTTGGGACGCTAATTTTTAGACTTGGAACATTAGATATGCATCATCACACTTCATTTACTTTGTACTTACATCAAAAAAATTGTGTCACACTGAGTACAAATCACCCTGTATTGTATACTCAAGATACAAGCCACAACCCCTGTGTACTATGTAACGTCAGACTAACACAACCCCTTGTAATTATTATGAGAGGGTAGATGTTAGCCGAGGAATGTATGGTTGACCATAACAGTAGATATTATAAATTTAACAGTTAGTGTTCGAGGAAATATCCGTAATATCACCTACATGTAACAACATATTAGCTAGATATAGTAAGCTAATTTTTAGATAATTGTTAAATAACAATTCTTTTAGCAGCAAACAAGTTGTATAAATTTAACTGTATAGGTAAGAATAGTCAAAAGGACACTAAATAAACTATATTTATTAAAAGTACCGCTTTGTGACTAAATATGGTTTATATTTAAAGAAAAAAAAATTGGATTTGTTTGAAAAAAATACTTTTACCGATTCCAAGGGCACTTTAGTAAATAAGTAAGTTTAAAGGTTTACAGAAATCACTTACCCCAGTGATTTTTTGCTAAACCATTATGTAAGAATGATTCATAATGTTTATTTTTACATTATTTCAACAGTTTTCATTTGTAAAAATATTAACTGATAGACTGAATATACAAATAAATAAACCTAGGACCTATATATTTAGTAATAGGCACTATTGTGGAAATAGATCTACAAAGTGCATCATTGAAATTACGCACACCATAGACTTATGGTTTTTTTTTAGCATAATAGTCCATATTTCTTACATTTCTGTAATTAAAATATCGTACGTTTAAATTTAACGACTATAAAACAATGAACAAAAAATAAATCCTTAAACGAAAAAGTATCAATTTGTGACAAACCTGAGGAATATATTAATTATTTTAATGTTCGATTGTTAACGTTTATAGTTGGTTTTTACCAACGTTTAAAACTTAGGGTTCGAAAAATAACACATTAGGATTCTAGCATTGACTATACGATTCTATCGAGAACTTGTATCTCAAGATATTTATGGAAATTTTACAAACATATTTTCTAAATCTAATGTCATTACGCTCGGGATTCAATCCACTTTACACAGTGCTAATGTTACCATATTATTATTGTGGTTGAACAAGTTAACAAAACCACAGTGGACGCGTGGAAGTGTCTGGGAGCTCACAAACAGCTGACCTGGGCAAACTGAGCTATTCTCTTTGTTGTAATGTTTAAGCAGCTTTGCATAAGCCGACGTAAATGCTTAATCAACAATGTTCTCTCCTATGACTTCGGTCAATGTTAAGAAAATAATGTACGATTCATACGTTAATTCCTTTTGGCGATGGTAATTTCTACTCAATACCTTGAAGCCCAACCCCATATGGCTTTTAAAGTAATTATCATTTAGTATCTATGTTAGACTAACACCTCACATGGTCACCACGTCTTCAAATCCTTCGCTTTTAGGGCAAGATGCTTACCATGTACCCTTTGTGCTATAGATTAACTAACCAACGACTTATTTTTAACATGGCAAATTATTAGTTATTGT